CCTCGCCCTGTCCTGCCGGTGCCCACAGGTAGCCAAGTCCCAGGTGACTCCTTCTCACCACCCCTCACTTGGTTCCTGATGCTTTCTGTAGTCATTCCACGGACTCTCGAGGGCCAGCCACGGGCCTCACCGGTGGCCCACGTGTGGTAGGCTTTCCAGAGCGGCTTGTGGCAGGTTGGTCACCTGGGCCACGCAGAATCAAGACTGAAATGCTAATAACAGTTTGTATGGGGAAAGGTCGAGGGAAGAACTAGTCTTAGAAATTTCTCAATCACCACCAAGGCCTGTCTTCCCCTATTTGCATAAAGGGGGGCAGAGGATGGTTATGGGTTGGACACATAGATTTTCTATGTCACGCTTGCAAATTCCATTTTTTCCCTTTTTGCATTGGTGTGTATGTCCATGTGTGTATGTACGTGTGTGTCGGTCAAAGGACAACCTTGCTTACTGCTTTTCAGGTTTCTTCTACCTTCTGTTCTGTTTGAAACAGAGTCTCCCACTAGCCTGGAGCTTGCCAAGTGTGCTAGGCTGCCTGGCCAGCAAGCCCCAGGCACCCGCCTGTTTCCATCCTCCAGCACCACACCCGGCTTTTTATGTGGGTTCTAGGAGTTGAAGTCAGGTGGTCCTCAGGCTTGTGTCACTAGGCTTTCCCGACCGAGCTGTCTCTTTCCTAGCTCTTGTGTGTTAAAGAGGAATCATAACAGGCCTCCCGACTCCCTCATACCTAAAGAACCCACCCTGGGTGCCTGGCTCCACTCCCCAGGCTGTTATGCCTTAGCAGTCAGGGCATGTTAGGAGTACTCAGGGAAGGGCCCAACCTTGAAGTGATTTGTGGAAAGTATTTCCATAGTGTGGTGATGTGGCTTTGCTCGGCATTCATCTCAGAAACAGATGGAATCGATTTGCTAGGACCTGGGTGCTGGTCAGGTTGCTTATTTGCCATTCACACAGGTTGCGGAGTCACAGAAGAAATGGCAGTACAAAGTAAGACCTCAACGGCTCTGGGCCACCCTACACTGGCTGTGCATGGATCCCTCTGGAGAGGGGAGCTGGCTCACCCACTGAGTGCAGTGGGCAGTGGCAGTGGAGTGCCTGCTTTCCTGGGCTCTCAAGAAGGGTTCTGGAACATTCTGTCTTAGCATGTGCTTTCAGACTTGGGCCTGACAGAGCCCCTAAGGAGGTGTTCTGTATGTTACCACCAGGGAGAAAGAGGCTCATGCCCTGGTTTCAGGATGCCTTGTGACCACACCTAACAACTGCCACTCGAGTGGGCAGTAGCTGGTGGCTGAAGAGCTGAATTTTCCGAGTTTTTCCCACACACGTGCTTTGCTGTCATTTCAATTAGGAAGTTTATTTATTTATTTTTTCCCATTGTTCTTTGTACATCCAGGGTAACAGAAACATCCAACAGTTCATTTGGAGATTTTTCTTTCTTTCTTTCTTTTTTTGCACATTCATTCCTCCTAGAACATAAAGTGAACTTAAAAAAAAATTGGAACCATGCTGTTTATTAGCTGTTTATAAAAGTGAATAAGAAGTTGCTTGTTCTTTTAAGTCTAAAATAAACAAGTGGAGAGAAGCATTTTTCTTCTACAATATTTAGCCAACATAAGAAAAAGTCCTTAGAAACGCACACAAAAAGTGAAAAAAGTTATTACAGGCATTAACAATATTTTATAATGAAGCTTGAAATCTATTTACATACATAAATACAATTGAGTTTATTGATACAACTTCTTCTGAAGGATTAAAAAAAACAAAGACAAATGATCAGCTTTGCCAATACTGACCTGGCAGAAAGAAAGAAGGCATCCCAACAAGGAACCAACCAACTAACCAGTAACCAGCTAACCAACCAACAAGTAACCAATCAACAGACCGAAATCCCCCAATAAATGTATACCGTAAACAAAAGGCGTCTTGTTCAGATGTGGAAAAAATATATTCTGAAATTGTTGTCAAACCATTTATTTTCATGTATAAAAGACCCTAAACATCGCATGCCTCCCCCCACAAACAAAATTAAAAGAACCAAAAAAAAAAAAACCTATCAAAACCAGAAAAACCCTAGGACTGAGTGTCCCAGGGAAAAAGGTATTTCAAGAAAGAAATCCGCAGTCATCAACTGCAGGCCGTTGAGGGAAACCGTTTATCCCTTGCCAGTCTGAGCATTTGTCTGCTACCCAGGGCGCTTGGGCCGCGGTGCAGCTACTCAGCCATGGACGGTGACTTTCCGAGGATTCTGCTGCCGGATCTGGACAGCAAGCAGATCGAAAAAGCGATCGAAAAAGCGCCTCTGTTCTGTTGGAAGAAACACATGAGCAAGAGAATGACCGACTCACCCTCTTCTTTATGCAAACGGAGAACTGGACCATCTGTGTTCTGGACACTTGGTATGGGGTAGGGCATGTGTGTGTGTGTGTGTGTGTGTGTGTGTGTGTGTGTGAGAGAGAGAGAGAGAGAGAGAGAGAGAGAGAGAGAGAGAGAGAGAGAGAGAGAGAGAGATGCCTCCTAGAAAGTACGCAGGAGGGAGAAGGTGGAGAGTTTGGAGGAGGGAGAAGAAAAGAGAGAAGAGAGATTGGAGGGTACAGAGGGTGAGAAAAACAGAAGGAACCAAAGTGTGTGTTAAAATCATAAATAGGGGCTTGAATGAGCAGTAGAAACGGCTTATTCCAGTTTTCTTTTCCTGGACCAGTATTCCCAAACAGCTCCACTTAGCTCAAGATTGGCTTATGGGTCTTACCTGAAGACAGTGAATGAAGTCACCTTGAGGCACCTGAAGTCAGTGAATATAATTTCTCGGGAGAAAAATATGTGCCGTATGGAATCTATCTCCAAGACAATGAGTGCCTGATTGATCTTTTTTTTTTTTTTTTTTTTTTTTTTTTTTCTGAAATGAGTAAATACTGTGAATGCTGGTGAGCACTGGGAAGCTCTGGACGGCTCACCGGGCCATCCACAACGAAAGTGGCAAGTCATGATACATGGTTTCCAGGGCAAAGATTTGAAGTGTGGGATTATCTGGTTCTTCTCATAGGGCCAGAGTGCCTTCAGGTATCAGAATTAAAATGAAAGAAATATAAATCTCCTTCCTTTATCTTTCCCTGGCATTTCCTTAGGCCAGATGTGGCAACCTATGCTAAAAAGAACATCTGCTTTTGGAGAAGTAAACTAATGGTCCTTTTCAGAAATTAAAACTTTATTTTTCTGACAATTGAGGAAGCACAGCTGTACAATGTACTGTGGGATAACGAGTGAAACTGAATGGTGGAGGAAGTTATGTCCGCTATGAAAATCTGGCCGGGTTTCTCCGAGATCCCCTGGAGCTCTTCTCCAGATAGGAACAGCCTGATAGCACAGGCTAACCTCTTACCAAAGTGCTGCTGCTCCGTGTAAAACAAAGAATCAATATATATATATAGATATAGATATAGATAACTCAAAAACAAGTTGTATTTTTTTTAAATAAGTCCAGCTGTTTTTGCTGCCTGCAGCCAAAGATCTAATCTGAATGCTTAAATTTATAAAATAATAATAATAAAAAATCCAACACTGTTCTGAAGTCCTGCTTTCAAACTCTCTTCAGAATTGACCTGACGTCATTTCAACTAATTTAAGAGGTACATTAAAAAACAACCAGGTCATTTTGAGCACACACTTGTCAAAATCAGCAGTTAGGATTTATAAGTTGCAGAACAACTGGATTTTGACCAAGCCCTCCACTATGACCACAACACAGTGCCGTTACAGTTACAGTGACCGTGATTTACATGGACTGCAGAGACGTGACGCTTATCATGCTGGTGCACAGATAAAGTGCACGCACCCCAAAGGTTGGGGGCTCAGCCTGGTGGGAGCGGCCAGGAGATGCAGCTGGTAAGTGAGCGGCTTCCGGTCAACGTTCTGCAAGGGTTGACAGGGTATCATCCCTCACAACCAATCCCACTAAGGTAGGCAGAGGGAAACTGGCTCCTTCCGGCTTTGGGGGTACACTCTCTTAAAACCCAGCCACTGGGCCTCAAAGGCACCTGGTGTTACCCCTTCTATTTGGATCTTTGGGGTGTAGCTGCGAGTTTTGGTTTTCATCGATGAACAGAAACTATTAATGGGAGGAAATTAAAAGATCACATTCACTCATTTGGGGCCCAACAGCTTACCTCAGTGAGTCCTGTTATAAAGTTGCCTGAATCAGAAGGCCTTGGGGCAAGCATACCTCCAGGCCGAAATAACATCCTCTTCAGAGCTGGACTCACTGGCACCTCTCTGAACCCTTTGGAGGGCAGAGTTTGACCTTTCTTTTGGAAGGGAAGGAGCCAGGTATGAGGCCCTTTGTTGAGCCTGGCAGAAAATTTTGCACTTCTCATCCTTGGAGTGACCCTCAGTGTCTAAAATCCAATTGAAAACATGGCTGCATTAGCTACCGACTTGTTTGAATAACATAAAAGGGAGTTTAATGTAAACAATATCTCTAGGTAACCAAGCAATCACATAACCCATCCATTTTTTTTTCCAGCCATCTTCAATACAATAACATTTAACTTTGGCTATTATAAAGAAAAATGTAGTACTTGATATTTTTCTTAATATAAGTACATTTAAATAATTAAAAAAGTATCAACACATACGTAAATGTTCAAACATCGAGATACATAAATATCTAGGGATTTCTTTGTGGAAATACAGTAGTTAAAAAATGACCCAAAGCTGTAGCTGTCTCTTTAAAACAAAACAAAACAAAAAAAAAACAAACAAACAAAAATCCCAGCTACAGGAAAAGTTCAAAAGTTAAATAAAACGTACAGAGAAGGGAATCGTATTTCTTTCAGTTGGTCAAAGGCAGAAAGAAGCAAGCTCAAATCTATACATATTTAAAAATAACGACCACCCAGATGCAAACACACATTTTTTTTGCAATTGATAAGGTGTGGAAAAGAAAAGTCCGACATAAGAAATAGATGCCCAACAGGATGAGCTACGTCTTCCTCGCCCCGAACCAAAAAAAAAAAAAAAAAAATCCCACACTCTTTGGAATAAACAACGTGGTTAAAAAGTGAAGTCAAGGGTATAAAATCTTTCTTTTATTCACAGCATTGCTAAATCAGAAGCATTCACAGTTTCCCTCCGGGAATCTTCCTGTTGGCCTCCGAGGGCCCTCCTGGCGGGGGTCTGTGCATGGACGGCAGGTGCAGCCGGGCTCAGTCCCTCCTCGGGCGCTCAGTAGGGCCGCCACACCGCCTCCTCCAGGCGCGCGGGTGGCATGTTGGTGGGCGAGTTGCTGTGGCTGCCCTCGGTCTCCACCACGTCGCTCTGGCTGGGGAGGCTGGGGTTGAGCAGCGCGGCGCCGGTGGACGCGTTGGTGCAGGGCGGCAGGATGCGCGGGGGCGATCGCTCGCCGCCCACCATGGAGAACTGGTAGGAGCCGGCAGAGGCGCCGTAGTACAGGTGGTAGGAGGGCGAGCTGGTCTGGAAGGGCCCGGCCTGCGCCTGCGAGGAGCCGGGGTAGGGCGGCGGCAGGTAGGTGTGGTAGCGAGAGGCCGAGCTCATGGCCGACATGCCGATGCCGATGCCCGACGTGACGGGCGGAGAGTAGGTGAAGGCACCGGGGTAGTGCATGCGCGGGTCGGAGATGGACGGCAGCGTGGGGAACTGGCGCGGGTCGCCGAAGGCGGTCAGGTCCGGGGCCGCTGTGGGTGGGTGGAAGAGATGGTGTGAGTGTGTGGTCTGAGAGGCAAAGGCTTCCCTCTCTGCCAGAGTGCTACTGCCCAGGACACCCAGGACTGCCCAGAGTGCTCCTGCCCACAGGGGAGGGGATCACCAAGAGTGCTCTGCCCAGGACACACAGGACTGCCCAGAGTGCTCCTGCCCACAGAGGGGGGGATCACCAAGAGTGCTCTGCCCATGGGGGGTGGGGGGATCACCAAGAGTGCTCTGCCCAGGACACACAGGACTGCTCAGAGTGCTCCTGCCCATGGGGGGTGGGGGGATCACCAAGAGTGCTCTGCCCAGAACACACAGGACTGCCCAGAGTGCTCCTGCCCACAAAGAGGGGACCACGGAGAGTGCTCCGCCCAGGACACACAGGTGCCCAGAGTGGTCCTACCCATGAAGCGAGGATCATCACCAAGAATGCTCCTGCCCAGGACACACAGGATTGCCCAGAGTGCTCCTCCCCACGGAGGGGGGATCCTAAGAAACAGAGCTACTTGGCAAGAAGTGAGTTTCACCCAGCATGCTGTCATAAATAGTGTGAGAACACAGAGCGATGGCAGACATTTTGGAGGGAGTTGTGCAATGGCCTGTGACATGTGTCATGGCATGGTGTAGCATCTGTATTGTATAAGTACCTCAATGTCACACACACACACACACACACACACACACACACACACACACACACACACACACGGTACTGCAATGTAATGTTTACAATATGCGTAAATGTTAGAGTCCCAGGTTGGCAAACAGCAGCCCATCAGTCAAAACTGGCTAGAGGGAATTTGTGTGTCCTAGGAATTAAAAATGGGTTTTACATTTTCAAATGGCTGTGAAACTGTAAAAACAAAAACACAAATTTTTTTATTCTGTTTTGATTTTTGAGACACGGCCTCAGTCTGCCGCACGGGGGCGTGGGGGTGGGGGTGGGGCTGTGAATCCTTCACCTGTGCTCCCACTACTCTTAAGTGACCAGGACAACAGAGCTCTCAAAGTTAACCATTTCTCTTTGGCCCTTCACTGGAAAAAAAAAAGCCTATCCTCTACTTATATTAAAATATTAATACTGATTAATATAATGATAATATAATCAGTACATTGGCATAACAACATTAATATAACAATATATAATGATATAACATTACAGCAATTGAGGTAATGGATGCACTTATATGTTACTAATAGACTATTAATATAACAACAGTGTTACGTTGCATACAGTATTCAGGTTGGACAATAGAAAACTCATTTTTGTAGGCTCTGAACCCTTGAAGGTTGGCTAATTTTCTGTTACTTGACACGATGCATACTGTGGTAGTGACTGCAGATGTTGGTGATTGGCATACCCCTTGTCTCTGCATCTACCTTCTGACTTGTTCTACATCTGTGTGGCAATGGACACAAGAGCTTATGTCTTTACCTAAGATGTGCTTCACTGTTTTCTATTTTATTTTTGATTATGCTTATGTGTGTGTGGATATGTGCATGTGTGCCTGCAGTACCCACAGAGGCCGGAAGAGGGTGCCAAGTTCGCTGGAGCTGGAGTGACCCATGGTTGTGAGCCAACCTGCGTGAGAGCTGGGAGTCAGACTCGGGTCCTCTGAAAGAGCAGTGTGTGCTCTTAACCACCCAGCCATCCCTCCAGCTGCTGCTTTACTGTGGTTTTTTTTTTTTTTTTTTTTTTTTTTAAACACAGATGGATGTAAGAACTCGGTGTATCAGCTTTTTGCACATCCTGGAATCTCCTTACAAGATTCATTTTGTTAGGAATGAGTCTACATTCATGCCATTGGCTGTCCTCCCGGGGTTCACCGGGTCCCCCTGCATTTCCCTCACGTGCATGCTGCCTTTGACGCAGACTGGGAATGAAGGCCAGCATGATTCCCCTTGCAGACCAGTTTACCAAAAGTGGCCCAGCCGGCGGCACCTTTGTCCATCCTATTTCTAGTGGGTGGTTGGGTGCTGACTTACTCCCTGACACTTGTTTGGGGACATCTAGGTCCTTTACCCACTAGATGCCAGCAGTGTTCCCACCCCCACTGTGACATCCGAAAATATCTCCAGACATTGCCAAACTCCCTAAGAATGGGTGGAGGGGGACGCACACTTGCCCCCTGCCGAGAGCCGCCACTGTGAATTGGAGGAAGGTGTTGTGGGTAGCTTGTGTGCTTCAGAATGAGAGTCAGCACACCCACACCTCCCAAAGACACCAAGGAGACAGCAGAGGCAAGAACTAACCGCTCAGAACGTTAAACCGTCAAATTACCGCACAGACTGACTTTAAGCTCTGGTGGCCTGTGGTCTGGGCCCTTCTGAGTCGAGCCTGCTAGAGAGAAACTTGAGGAAAGCTAAAAGCTTCCTTTGAAAGGAAAACTCCCCGGGTGGATTAATCGTGTGTTGGAAGGCCTGGGCTGTGATCAACTTCCTTCTATTCCAAGCCTATTATTCCAGCTCGAGAGCTGGTGTTTGTGTTCTCTGTTTCTCCCTCTCCCTCTCTCTCAATAATCTTTTATTGCTCTAACACAATTTTACAAAAGGAACTCTTGTGTACATTTGGGGTGAATGTGAGGGAAATAGACTCCTCATCAGAGAGGTAATTAGAGTTTATAGAAACAGCCGGAGTCTGCAGCAAATCCCCCTGCTAATGAGGAAACCAGGAGTCTGACTTGCAAACAAACACCCCTGTTAATGTTTTCAAAGCCAGTCAGACATGTGGGCAGCGAGAAGGCTGTAAACGGACAGCGGTCCTGGGGCTGCCCTGGCTCAGCCGCCCCTAGCGTCTTCTACAGCCAGGCCACACCTCATTCCACAGGGTTCATCCCTGCCCCCTCGCTGGGGCCCTCTGGGAGCAAGCTCCATGTCACTTGTTTGGCTTACACGGAGAACCGTGACATGTTTGAGTTAACAGGAAGTTTTACTCCACTTTTTTTCCCCAGTTAGATTTACACAGTCTAGGGAGAAGCCACGGCAGGAGGGAGGGCGGGAGGGCATTAGGCAAACACAATCCGTTTGTTGTCATCTGATGCAAAGCTCTGGACACAAACAAATGACTCTGCCCGCCATCCCCTCTTGCTTCACCTGCCCTGAGACAAAAAGGTGAATCCGCTGGAGAGAATGAATGAAAGGTCACCCTGTTTCACAGCCATGCCCGAACACGCTCTGCCAGTCCGGTCCAGTCACGACACGGTGCTGTGGTGATGGTGCCAAGTTACCGGAATCCCGCCCGCGTGAGTCTGTGATTTGTCATGGGCATAAGCCCACGAGGGATGTTACAGTCTCAGCTGCTGGGGGCAGAGTCCACTGAAGATCTGAGATAACTAGTGGTGTCTTTGGACAGAAGGTCACATTCTCCCCCCTCCCTCTCTCTCCTCCCTTCCTCTTCCCTCCATCCCTCCTTGTTTCATTTTTACAGTTTGTAATAAAAAAAAAAAAGACTTAGGTCCTCTAGACATGTTCAAATTCAAGTGGTCTCTTCAAATGCTTGATTTCTTTCACAAATACGATGTCCAACTATGTGTGTGTGTGTGTGTGTGTGTGTGTGTGTGTAGTGCAGTGTGCTTATGGACATTAGAGGAAGAAGTCAGATGGCCCTGGAGCTGGAATTATGGGCAGCTGTGAGCCAGCTAATGTGGGGCCTGGGAACTGAACCCAGGTCCCCTGGAAGAGAAGCAAAGGCTCTAACCACTGGGCCATCTCTTCAGCTCCACCTGTTCTCATTTTGAAATCTGGCCTATCCTCTCTTATTACAAATCACAGTCACAGAATTTACCGATCATCACACTATGGCTCCTCTACTCTCTTGGCTGGCCTACCCCCACTTCAGGAGCAAATGGGACAGTCCTGCCCCTCCCCCTCCAGCTACTCATTGGGAAATTTTAAAAGTAGGAAGTCTGAGGATTAGAAGGTTCAGGTGTTTTCACTGGAAGTATTTCGACGGGTGCTAAATATCTGCCATGACGGAGCCAGCCTTGGCTCTACAGCAGACAGGATGAAAGCAGCTCCACGCCAGGCCCCTCCCACTGCCCCCAAAGGATTAAACAACCTGAGCAGATAATGGCCGCCTTAAAAGGATCTTCTGCATGACTCAGATTAATGCACGCTGTCTGTCGCCCAGGTTGGCAGCTAAACATTAATTAACAAAAAGAAAAGGGGGAAAAAAGAAGAAGAAAAGAAAAAAAAAGAAGAAAGGTAAACCTTCATGTGACAGCTCCTTTCAGACAAGGTGTGGAGTCTTGTCTTCAAGGGACAGACAGACAGAGCCCAAGTGTGCAGGAGAGGAAGGCTGGCTGGGGCTGAGGGTAGATGAAGGGGCAGGCACACAGGGTTGTTGATTGGTGCGATTAAAAGGTTCATCAGCCACGGAGAGGTCAAGTTTGAAAAGCCTTGGGCCCAGGGGTGGGGGGTGGGGTGGGGGAGGGTGCTCTTCCTTTCAAGGATCCCAGCCTCCTGCCCCGGGCTTAGGACAACACTCTCTGGGCCCACAAGGCCTGCACTCAGGGCTTGATTTCTAGAGGGAGCTCCTGCCAAGCTGAAGCTCACTCTCCCCGTGCCTGATCTCTGCCACCCATGAAAGATTGCTTGTTATTCTCTGGTCTTCCCTACTGGGCAGCAGAGGTCACTTTGGGGCCCTGACATGGTTTTTCTCTCTCTCACATTCCTGTGCCATAAAGTACCTTCTTTCTAGCTTGCATTGTTGAAGTCCACATTATTAGGAACACAGCTGTGATTTGGATGTGTTACTTATTTTATTTGGGGTGATAGTGGCACTCCATAGTGAATGGGGACCCTATACCCATGTGTGTGTATACGGGCAGGGCCAACTGGACATAATTAATAAAAAACAAGTTAAAAATTTTTAAAGGACATGAAGTTTTGAGGGAGATGCTATGGGGGAGTGGAAGGGGAGGGATCTGGGAGTGGAGATGATCAAATGTGTCACACTGACGTATGTGATTCTCCAGGAGTAAATAAAAGTATTAAAGGCCACTGTTACATGTGATCGCTGGTCAGCTGGAGGAGCTGGTCCTAGGTGCCCATTTTGGGCGGTGACCAAGCTAAAAGACTTACGTAATAAATTTCCAGGGACAGACCCACACTGGGGACGTTTCTGAGGAAAACAGTAAGTGATTGAGATGTAGGCTGTAGCCAGTGGGCAGGGCAGCACCACTGAGAGGAATCTGCGAAAGCTGACAGATGCTACTGGAATCAGACTGTCCCTCAGGGGACAGGCTTTCACACACAGCCAGCTGAGCAAATGCCATAATTCCTATGTTACCCTCTTAATTCCTTAGACCATCGGCTCCCATGGGAATGCTGGCACTGATGGCCTAAAGTCAGGTGGAAACCGAGTGAGTCAGCCGGCTTTTGTAGTTCATAAAGCGCCAAGGGCTGGTTGATGCTGAAGGTCCTCACTGCTCCCAGCAGACACAAGTGGCAGTGTCTGGTGACATTTTGTGTGTGTGTGTGTGTGTGTGTGTGTGTGTGTGTGTGTGTGTGTATTCATTTATGAGTGTAAGGTTTTGGTCCTTATTTACGTCCTTTAATTACGTCATCAGCCTTCGCCAGCTTCCCAGCCTAAAAAAGCGGTTGGGCCCTCTGTGGGCTCTCTCTCTGTCCCCTCTCCTTTGCGCTCCTCCCCCCCCCCCCCCCCCCCCCCCGTCGGTCCCTCTCTCCCTCTCCTCCCCTTGTCTCTCTCTCTCTCTCTCTCTCTCTCTCTCTCTCTCTGTCTTTTTCTGTCCCCCCCCCCCCCCCCCAATAAAGCTCTAAAAAGGTAACCATGGCTATGATTCTTTCAATCAGCACGCTCCTCCGCGGGCATGGCCGCCGCGGGCGGTGACCAGCCACGAGGGGCAGCTCGGCGGCATAACCAACAATGAGTACCCTGTGTACAGGCACTTGTGCATGTGTGTGTAGAGACCAGAGGCCAGCCTTGGGTTTTGTTTCTCAGCAGTGGTCCAACTTTTTTTTTTTTTTGAGGCAGGGCCTCTCCTTGGCCTGGAGCTCTCTGATCAAACTGTTCCGGATGCTCCCCTGTCTCTCCGTCCCTAGTGCTGGGATTAGAAGCCTGTGACACCACACTTTGCTCTTATACCTATGTTCTGGGGAGTCATACTTGGTCCTCATGTTTGAAAGGCAAGGAAGGGCTTTACCACAGAGCCTTGGAGACATTTCTGAAGGGCAGGCTAGGACATTTGCTACTGGCATCTAGAGGTCAAGGGCGCTTCTAACTAATGTCTGGTGCACAGGACAGCTCCCTCCCCCGCCCCCCAGGAAAACACGATGCAGCCCAAATGCCAGTACCACTGCCGGGCGAAGACAGACTACACTAGCCAGGGGAGCTGGGAGGCCGCGATGGAGAAGCTGGCCCTCTGGTGGAATCTTAAGCAACCCCGGTGGTTGTCTGGAAACAGTCTTTCACAACATTCGAGGCGAGGCGATGGTCCTGACTCCTCTGCCCTTCTGCCTGCCCCCTCATCTGTTCTAATCTGCCTTCCAGAGCCCCAAAGCACAACCCGCCCCCCTCCCCCGACGACACACACGCAAGTCCGTCCCAGGCCTCCTGAGGGTGAAGCTCTCTGAAGTATTTCACAGTTTGGTTCGGCTCCAATTTCAAAGCCCCAAACAGTAAGTTTCTTCTTTTGCCTTCAACAAAGGAATTTTTCCCTGTAACTCCGATTTCCCTGCCCAGGAGCGAAGGTGAGTGCCAAGCCCCAAGGGCTCATAGGTTAAATGACTAATATTTAATGAGCTCGTATTAACAACAATTATGCTAACCATGACACCTGAGCCTTCTACCTTGTTCCCAACCCTCAGTCTGAACAGCTCTTAGCTGGGAATGTTTATCTTGGGGCATATTTGTTTCCTATTCCAATATGTACCCCGCTGCGCTGTGCGTAGGAACCTCTGAAAATTCACCACGACTGGGAAGAGCAGCCATGGTCTAGAATTCAGCTGGGATGTTGACTTCTTTGCCACAGGTATAAAATCCTTTGGCCGTTTTGACTCTTCAGAATAGTAGCCTTTGGCCACCAACCTTCCCCAACAGACATGAGCAAACCCTAAATACTGAAGAGAAAGATTAAGACACTTCTGCCTCCTCATCTGTCACCTCTTAGGATGTCAAGAAAAATTAGTGCTCAGCATAGGATTCCTGCAGAGGCAAGGGACTTTGCCTTTGAACCCTGTTCTGATCTGTATCCGGCCACCTCCTTCCCTTCGTCTCTTCTGTTCTTCCAAACCTTCCCCTCCAGCCCCACTGCAGATACATTCTCAAGTGGCTTACTTGAAAGTCGACTGGAAAGTTCTGCAGAGAGACTCGTCATGCCACTGGCACGTCCAGGTGAAATGGGTGTCGCTGGGTGCACAGAAGAGGTGGTGATCGATCCCAGGTACTGGTAAGACTGATCATAGGACCATGGTGGGGACGGCTGGATCTGCCTCGCGTCTGCAGAGAGACAGGGATGTTGATAACAGACCGAGAGGGGTGGGGTTTTAAAATGAAAGGGTCTTACAAGGATAATTATTAACCATTATTTGAGTAAGAATACGTGAATGTACACAGCTTGTTCATTTGTATCTAACGGGCCTGGTAGAATCCAAGTATCTGATGCCTCTGTGGTGTGATAGCCCTCCTTAAAGAGGAGCAGTTTGTGTTGGTTTTGGGGAAATTTTTACTTTGATAACTCTTTCTTCTATACATTTTTTTTCACATTAATATTACAGGAAATTGTTTACACTGGACACTAGTAGTACCCAATGACTTTACATTCCAAACATAATACATTCAGCTTTGCCAATAATTAATTATAATTATCATCACCAGAAACATTTTATAAGCTTAGATGGTCACCTACGTTCAGGAAACACAAAGGACGTAAAGGGGATTTGGGGTATGAGGGAACCTTGCAAAAATATCCATGGGCTTCTAAATGTTTTCTACTTAAGCAAATACTATTCCCCTAAATGATCACCGAAACAATAGCAATGGTGATAATAAAGTGATAAAAGAAAACACACCCACAGACACAAAATCAGAGAGCAAAGCACACTGGGAGTGAGCTGTTGTGACCAGGTCACAGGCCCACCAGCGGTTGCCCAGTCGACCCAGGCAGCACGGAGTCTTGAAGCTGGCAGGGTTTTTGCTAGTTTGTTTGCTCCGTTTTTGTTTGGTTTTTCAAGACAGGGTCGTCTCCCTACTCCCTCCTTCCCTCCCGCTGGTCCATTTCTTTCTTTTCTTGAGAACAAAAGAAAAATCGTGAAGATGTAGTGTGCCACAAACCTGGTCATTCTGGAACAAACATTGTAACTTGGAGTCTTTGGGATCTACTGGTTAAGAAGCTCTTGATTTCCTTCCACATGGTGGAGGATGGAAGAGACGGCACAGAAAAGGAGCACATTAGACTTAGCAGACAGTGAGTGCTTCAGTGCAGGGGGAGGGAGCCTTGTGCAATCTTACAGCTAACAGTGTAACAGGGCTGGAGGGGAGCAGAAACAGCAGCTTGTCCTGCATCTCAAGTTACTTTTAAGTATCTTGCTCCAAGTCTGTGTGTGGGGCACGGGAAGCCCATACACTCAAATATTTTCTACACGACATGCTTATATTCTCGCTACATATACTTACCAAATGAACATATACTAACCAAATATTTTAATCACTTAAAAAGCAAACAAAGGAGTTTCTAGAAGTGTCACAAAGGCCTCCGGGGTGTGAACTCTGGGGTGGTAATCCATGCCTTGTTGTGTAGACAGCCCAACACCCCTAGCCCCATGTCTAAAACCACACTAAGCATGAAGCGTTGGGCCATGATTCATGCTCTGTCATGTTTTACTGGAGTGAAAAAGTCATGCTAGGCCTTTCTAAACTCATAATTAAGCCATGCACACGTTGCGTAATATTTCACAGCCTTTTAAAAATATGCTTTGGTAAAATGACCTTTATGATTCCAGCCCAAGTTCTGTGCTTTTTCTTTTTTTTTCTTTCTTTTTTTTTTTATTTAAACACAGGTTATAGCTCTGGCGTCATCTTACTTTGCAGTGTTCAGTGGGGACAGCTTTACAAACCCTGAAGCTATCAGCCCATCAGCCTTCATTTTTTCCATCACAAGGAACCTCCTGGGGTCCTTTGCCAGTGGTGGGCCAGTAGGTGGTGGCGGTGAGCCTCTCCTTGCAATTCGGTCTTTTGTGTGAGCCAAAAACCAAACCAAACCAAACCAAACCAAACAACACCAACAAAAATAAAAGAGGCATGACAATACAGTGCCATTCTGCGTTTTGTGTGAGAGGTCTCTCTCTCTCTCTCTCTCTCTCTCTCCTTTTTTTTTTTTTTTTTTTTTTTCTGGCTCTGATGGGAGTAGAGGTAGGGCCAACATGAACAAAAGAAAGCCAGAATTTAAATAATCTTGTTTTTAGTTACCTAGCAGAAAAAAAGTGAGCTCTAGGCCCATCTGTTTGGTGAGAGGTTCAGTAGGCCTGGATCAAACCTTCCTACTCCCCTCTGGAGTGAGATGGATGATCTCTAAAACCATGCAGTGGTGACAGGGTAGGGTTACCCATTCAAATAAATCTAACTCAATATTGCGTTGTTTAACTTATCTGTTGCAAGGGCCAGGGAAGAATCAGGTAGGGTATGTGAGGTGAGGCGTGGTACTTACGATCATAACGGTGTGGATTCTGGGAAGTGCTAGAAGGGATTAAATGGGAGCTATCCAGAAAAGGCCACAGGCTGAGAGAGTCACTGCCAGGAGTTCCGCAAAGCCCAGGTGAAATGAGGGAGTTGCCTCTGGTAAGTCAATCCATCAAAGTGAACAGAAGTTCACTAAGCACCTGCCCTGTGCCGGGCTCGTGACAATGTGGTCAGTAACAGTGGTGAACAAGAGCAATACGGCCCCGGCCCCACTGGGACCTACCAGGGACGAGCTCCCAACCATGCCACGCTTCCTCCTGCACTTGTCGCCACACTGAGAGCGGCTTCATTCATGCATTCAGACAAACATTTGCATATTCATAGGCTGGTGAAATTATTCCCTGGCTCCTTCATTCATGTTTCCACAAACGGTTTTGCTTCACTGGGGCCCCTGTGTAGGGAATCACTAGGAAATGGTTTTATGGCCTCTACCTTCTAAGAGCTGCAGCCACTGGAGGAGCTAAAGGTCGTATAGAGACTGACTGCTCAATTACATGCCTAATTTGGAGTTGCAGATGGCCATTTCCAAGGCAGAGGCAAGAACAGCAATGATGTTTGTGGCATGCTTATGTTCTGCACTGCAGAGTAGGAAGGCACCAGACAGAAGTTAAACAGAGTTGGGGTTGAATTTTGCCTTTATCATGAACTAGCTTCAGCAAATCTCCTGTTCTTCTGTCTACCAAGGGTAATATCAAGGAATGAGCAAGCTACAGAAAAAAAGACATGTCACAATGTGTGCCCATTATAAATGCAAAAAAAGACATGTCACAATGTGTGCCCATCGTAAATGGTCAACTAGTTTGAGTGATTTCCATGATGTATTGCTGATGGAAATGCAATCCCAACAAGAGACTTAGCTGATGCTTGGTGGTAAGGCAACACACACTTGCACCGGGGTGGGGCCCAGGGGATACTGCTTTGCTTCGGGTTGAGGGTCTTGAGAAGAGCTAGGCTCTGGATAGTAAATGGTGAATGAGTGAGGAAGCTGGAATTCCGTGACATAGAGAAAGCGGGAATTCAATATTTCAATCAATTCTTGCTTCTGTTTTTAAAAGTTTGAGATTAGAAATTTAAGCTTGAACCTTCGGTACGCTGGTTGTGTTTGTTTTGTTTTTTTCAGGACAAATGGTTTTGATGAGATTACATGGCCAAAGCCACTTCAAATAATGGCTAAGAGGGGCTCCCTTTCATATTCCCGAACCCCACTCCCGTCCATTTGAAATGGAGGTCAAAGACAAGGGAGAAGATAGGGAGACAGAACAAAGGTCCATGGCGTATTTCACTCAGAATGCTTTAAGGCAACAACATCAAACATCTTTAGAGTCTATCATGACCCTATCAAATAATTCATATCAGAGTACCCTGCTTCTTCCACTTTCAGCACCAAAACTTGTAGAGCTGAAGAGTTACCATTCTTGTCCTTAGAACAAGGAAAAAGCCGAACAGAAAAATCTATGACTTCCTGGATCTCCCAGGGAATTCTAGCAGTAACGCAGGCCTCCACCCCAAAGTCTTGGGAGGCAGACAAGCATAGAAGACCACACCGAGGAAACAGAACCTGACAGGAGCACATCATGGGGATGTCACATGTTGCTGAAAGCTGAATATAGGCCGATATGAGAATATAAGTCTGGAGAGCTACAGTCCTGCCCAGAAGGGACATGTTTGTGGTTCAGGAACTCCACTGGGTTCTCAGAGAATCCCATCTCACTGCAGACTATTGATGGGAGAACTGTAGGGAGCAGAATAAGGCAGAGATCACGGGAAGCTCCAAGACACAAGGGGACAATATCAAGGACACTAGAGGAGCTGGAGTCCTTTGTCAACCATAGCGTTGTAGCCATTAAAAGCAAGCCAGCCCCTGCCTGCACGAACGCAGAGAACTCACACCAGCGGTCTGTCTGTGCTGGTTCATGTTCTGGGTGCACATGCTCAGCTGTGAACAAATTACAAAATGGGGAAGAAATGTGCGGCCTAAAGAGACAAAAGCAAGCCTTGCAAACAGACGACTCAGATATGACACAAATTCTAGAATTACCAGAGAGGGAATTTAAAATGGAAACTGGAAAAAAAAAAAAAAAAAAAAAAAAACCTCAAAAGAAATTCTGGAAATGAAAAACACTGCAAGAGAAACAGGAAATATCTTACACTCTCTACTGTTGACAAGTCACGGCTGAGGGAAGCCAGTGAACTTGAAGACGTGTCAATACCAACTTGTCAAACTAAAAGGTAAGGAGGAAAAAGAAAAGAAAAGAAAGAAAACACCAGAAAACTGTGGGATTGTTTCGAAAGGTATAACACACGTGTAATTGGAATACACGGAGAGCACACATCTGACATGAATGACTGAGACATTTTAACAAACTACAGAGCTGTGGAGCTGTAGCAGCGGAAAATCCAAGTGAAGGAAAAACTCTTTAAAGCAGCACGATGGAGGGAACATCTGTATAGAGGGAAAGAGGGATGAAAATGATGTCAGCTTCCCTTCATAAACCACGCAAGCACCAAGGGACCGAAGTGAAATCAAACGCTGAGATAAAATTCACCAACCTCGAGTTTTAAACCCAGCAAAATTAGTCCTCAAATGTGAGGGGAAAATCATTACCTTAGCTGATGAAACTGAAATCGAAGTCAATCATCACTCACAGACATGTTTAAAAGGCCTCAGACAGAAAGAAAATGACACAGACCAGTGACTTAGATCTACAGAGCAAAGGAGATCATCTTAGAAGGAAAAAAATTAAAATGAAATCAATACTTTC